AACCCCCCCCCCCCCCCACACACACACACACACACACCCGCCAAAGGTGGAAATGTCCCATATTACAAATCTACTCTTTCTTTTGTTGATTAGCTTCACTTTGGTATTTGGTATTTGTTAAGATCAGGGAAAACCAGCAGTTTAGTTCTGCAAGGGAATGAGTGCAGCACATATATTAAACCTATTACATGAGTGTAGCGGGATAACAATGCTTTTCTTTTTACCCTAAATCCCAAGGTTATTTCACTAGGGACTAAGCCCTTTTGATAAATGGAAAAAAAATTGACACTTCATCTAACTAGTAAAGGAAAAAAGTAGTAGGCCCATCTCAAATCATGTGGTTAACTCTTCCCCTTTCTGCACCCTTAACTTGAGATGCTAGCAGAAGAAAGAGATTGAACAACAGAAACCTTGCATTCAATTATTCTGCTGCACAAAATCTGTGTGTGGCTGGTGATTGGCCATCTCGATAATGACCTCCTTCAGCCCAGAAATTAGGAAATCTGGCCGACAAACTGATTTGGTCTTCACTTTCCAGCTACAGCTAGATACTGGATCTGATGCTCTGATAATGAACTGTGATGAGATTCGTAGCCGTTAGTTTAATCTTCATTATATCCCATAGCCATTCTTCGAGCAGTTGTTTCCTGTCTCTCTTCCTTTCCTTTGTCTCTGGGGTAGGGGATGGGGTATATGTATTTAATGACTAATTGGAAATTGGTTGAGGACTTTTTTACTGGTGAATAAATACAATTGACCCATTGTTCTTGGAAAATCTGCAGATTAAGGGAAGAAAGGCTTAGACGCATTGCAAGATACAAAACCAGGCTTGCGCTTCTCCTCCCTCCAATGGTAGAGCAGCAATTCAGAAACGATCCAGCTTCTGGAAACTAAACTATTCAAGATTCACCTACTGGTCCTTAGGCTCTCTCATCTGCACCCTGCTGGTACGCTCATATTTCATCTTCATATATATCCTCAAGGACTTTGAGGAGTGCTCAGGTTCGATGTTGGGGCCAAAATTGTGTAATATGGTGCAATTAGCGCCTGTAGAACGGGCGGGATTTGTAGTGTAATTTAGTGTTGCTTGTTAGCTAGTATTTATTTTATCTGCTATATCATTCAACAGTATCACCTGTGTCGCTATTAGAATAGGAGGTAATGATATAGCTAGGCTAGGAAATAAACCATCAATGTTTCTGAATTATAAATTTAGTAGTTCTGGTAATGTTGGCTGTGTATTTTAACTGAGAATTTTGGGTATCAATTCTTTGGTTTAGCTTGCCTCCACTGCATATAATTTTTTTGAAAAACAATCGATGTGTTATTATGCTAAGTTGAACTATAGAAGAACGATAACTGGAGGTGACTCATCTATCCATCGACACAAAAGATGTTACGTAATTTCTTAATAATTTGCCTAAATTTTGTGGGCAGAATTACTTGGTTGTGTGCTGATGAGAGATGACACATATTCGGTATGATAATTGAGATGTGTGCAAGTTGATCTGGCTATGTAGATAATGATTTTGTATTGTTGAGATATTACAAAACTCGGTAGAGTAGTTTAGATATATACAATTAAACCTCGTTATAGTGATAACATTTGTTTGAAAATTTTATACGTTTATATCTCAATTAGCTATTTAAAACAAAAATATATGAATGTAAATAAGGCAAATATCTGTAGTCTTTCCAGTTTCCTGGGGAAGTTATGTATGTTGAATACCATTTAGGTTTAAAAAAATAAATTCTTTTTAGATATTCGTACATATAATTTTCTATGTCCATAACATTAATGATGATTATCAATATTTTAATATTTTATTTTTATACATAATATATTTTTTTATAAAATATTACTTATAATGAATATCACTCATGTTATAGATAAAATATTATTATAGAAAAATAAAATATAATATAAAAATAATTCTAAAAAGATCAGATTATTATAATGAAATATTGTTGTAACGAGATTTGACGGTAAAATTTTATTTGGACATGAACGGAGTTACATACTTTTCCAGAAAAGGCCTAAAATAGTCCTTCATCTTTGGGCTAAGACTCAAAGCCATCATTGAGTTTTCTCATGGAGCATTAATAGTCCCTCATGTTTGCAATATTGGTGCACTTTTGGTCCTCCTTCAAAATTTTGTCTATTTTTAACATTGATTTTATTCATAATTTATGTATGGAATGTTTAATCGTCATTTTATATATTTAGTAGAAATAATAACTCCATGTGAGAGATTGTGAGAAGAAAAACACCTTATTTTGTTTAGTAGAAGTCGTATTACAGGTAAAGTCGAGAGTTTCATCACGACGATTTCACGTACAATAGTACACATTTTTATTTTCTTGCAATGTCATATGTTAAAATGTTATTAGCTTAGCTACAGTAATATTTATATCGAACAGAACAAGGTGCTCTTCTTCTCACCTTCCCTCACACAGAGTTATTATTTCTACTAAATATATATAAAAAAAAATGATGGGACATTCCTTACATAAAATTATGAACAAAATTAATGTAAAAAATAGACAAAAGTTTAGGGGAGGACCAAAAGTGGAGTCCGGAGCCTAAAGGGCAAAAAAAATTGTCAAAAATTTTAAAAGGGCACATCACTTTTTATTCTAGCCAAAAGGGCAAAATGATGAAATAGCAGCGATTTCGTCTAAAAAAATTTTTTTATTAAAAATCGCTGCCACAGCAGCGATTTTGTTAAATTTTGTTTTTATTATTATTATTAAAAATTGCTGCCATTGTAAAAAAAAAATAAAAAATTTGCTGTGGCAGCGATTTTAAGTCTGAATTTATTTTTTCCTTACACATCGCTGCAGGGGCAGCGTTTTTCATGCCGAGTGCTATTATTTTCATGCCTATTATTACTTATTAATAATATAAAAATGATAAACAAGACGACAGTATACTCAATAAAATTGTTGAACCATGAGGAAAATTGAATTATATATCATAAATAATAATAAAAGAATATTAAATTAAAAGAAAAACTTTTTTTTTT